CCATCCCCCACTCCACCCCACAAAATGTCTCTGGTATATGGTTGTTCATTATTTTTGTCATTTTCTCACCTGGTCCATTATACTCCTGCTATGAGTGAAACCATCTGGTATTTTTCTTTCTCTTTCTGGCTTATCTCACCAAGCATGATCTTTTCCAGCTCCATCCAAGTTGCTGCAAAAGACATGCGTTTCTCTTTTTTGGTCGCTGAGTAATATTCCATTGCATATATGTACAGAAGTGGGTTTTTAAGAAATCTGGGTAAAGATAAACTTGTGAAAAGGGTTTTTTTTTTTTTTAAATGAAATCCCAAGTTATAAAAACTATGCAAATGAAAGGCTGAAAAATTTTAACAAGTATATACATGGTCAGGCTTACAAAATATAACTATTCTTGTTTCCCTTTCCCCATTACTTTCTCATTACTGTATGAGAATCAACAGCAGAAAATTTTATTTACTAAAATAGAGAGGTTTGCTTAAATAAGATCAGAAATTAGTTATATTGATATCTCTTAAAATGGTATATTCATTATCTGGATAAAACTTTTACTGATGAAAGGTAATTTGTCCTAGGAAATGAATATGTAGGTACTATAAACTCTTGAGGTGTAGATGATTTGTCATGACTTCAGAAATATAAAATGTTATTGATAGCAAATGAAATTGTAACTGTCATCTGCTTCAGAATATGAATTCTGGTAGTTTCTTTTGAATATAGATCACCATCTTTGTTTTTATGTCACCTTAATATTTTAGCAAAAGGTATTGTTATATACATATTATAATACAAACTGTATTATTACATGGATATTGTAACATGGACTATGGTAGGACAATAGATATGAGTAAAATCTTCATTACCCTAGTTTGCGAATCTCCACAACTTCCTTTCTATATAGGTACATTTTCTGTAACCATGTATGAATGCTTATATCATATGTAGCAAAATAACATTTTAGGGAATATGTTCTGCATTTTCTGAACAATATTAACAGTAAATCTTTTTGTGTTTATATGTGTAGAAACTTCATCCATTGTCCCCTTTTGTTAACATTTATATTCTTACCATGTTTGTCACACATAAGGAACCCATGGTGATACATCAGTTAAAGTTCATAGTTTAAGATCTTAGTTTTTACATAATGCCTTTTTCTCTTCGTGATCCCATTTAAAATAACGTACTACATTTAGGTATTATGTCTTTTTAGACTGCTGTTGGCTGTGTGATTTCTCCGGTTTGTTTTTTTGGGGTTTTTTTTTTTTTTGTATGTGATCCTGACAATTTTGAGGATCACTGACGGGACATTTTATTTTGATCCCTCGCTATTGGAATTTTCTGACATTTATCTCATAATAAACTGGGACTTTGGGTTATTGGAGAAATTCCACAATTTCATTTCCATCACATCATACCATCTGCATGATTTGTGACTTTTTTTTAAGATTTATTTATTCATACAGAACTGGGGTACAGGCCAGAGATGCGGACAGTGAGAGGATTCACCAGGGACAGAGTGGGGAGCAGAACAGGCAGATAGACAAGTACATTGCTGAGGGGAGCAGCGGGTGGGTCAGGAGAGGTCTGCTGCACTATGTGGATCTCCTCCGGGGCAGGTGGGGATCGAATCGAACTCATGTGGAAATGGCTTAAGCTTCTTAGTGCTGCACCACCAGGGAGGGCCCGATTTGTGACTTTTTATTAACCTTTATTGCCTAACCTAGCATTTTCTCAGGTTTTCCACTTTTTCATGCTGAGTTCTTTAGTAAGAGGTCACTAAGCACAGCCCCACACCTAAGAAGGGGGCAGGGGATTACTCTTCTTAAAGGCAGAGTATCTACATGTACTTTTAAAAATTTATTTTGTGCAAGACATTTTCTTCTCCATTTATTAACCTACTTATTTACTTATATCAGTGTTACTTGTGCATATTCATACTTGGGTTATGATCTAATACTTTATTGCTCAAATTGTTCCAACTTTTGCCATAGAAGCTCTGTAATTCCCGTTTTCCTTTAATATAATGCCAGTAATGTTGGCATTTTTTGTTTAATTGCTTCTGAGCATGTCTTCACTCTCAGTCTTGTAGATAGTTTTCATTTTCTTGGTCAGAAACCATATCTTTTATATGTTCTCATGCACACATGCAGAGAATTTTTTCATAGACTTCATTCCTAGAAGTGGTATTGCTGAGTCAAATTGGGTGTCTGTGCCCTCACTTTGAACGTATTAGCTGTTGACTTCCAAAAACTTGCACAAGTTCATGTTTTCACCAGAAATGTGATCGTACGTATTGGACAGTGACCCTTATTCCAGTACTTATTTTTAACAGATTGAGTTTTTTTTCCAATTTGATAGGTTTAAATTGGTTTCTTAACATTTTGTTATGAATGATGTTTGAACATCTTTTTGTATTTCTGTTGGCCATTTGTATGACCATCTGTTCATGCTCCTTTCCTTTTTTCCTGTTTGAATGTTGATCTTTTTAAGTTGGTTTTCAAGAGATATTTATATTTTCAAGAAAACTTAGCCTTTTGTTATTTAGTAAGCAAGAAGCATTCTTTTTATTTGGTTGTTGTTTTTAAATAATATAAAAGTTACATTGTTATGTGACAGAATTGGCATTTATTTTCCTTATCAGCCAATATATAGTTTATTTGAAGGTGTTAGAGTAAGAATAAAACTTGCATAATCATTTTTTTATGGCAGGAACTCATCCCGGTTTCCCCTGCATCTTACAAACAAAAGAGTATTTCTTTTTGTAAACCACACCTACTTTACTGTTAACATAGTGTTACCCCCTTTTCTGTTACCCAAGATCATTGTTTCTTAATCTAATTTATAATTAAAGCTATCTTGAGTTTGTATGTATAAGAGAAAAGCAGTAAGTATTGGATTCAGTGCTATTTGTAGCTTCATGTATCCAGTTGATAACCTGAATTAGGGGATCTAGAGCTTTGTCTCCTGGGGTACTCTACTCAGTGTTCCTGTTTCTAGCACACCCATTACAGAAAAGGTGTCTATTTTTGTCACCACCACCCCCCCCCCCATCAAAGTCTAGAAAATTCAATTCTGGGAAAAATCCCATGCTACCTTGATACCTTCTTGAATGTCTTCCTGGGTTTTCTGATATGCTTCTTTACATACAATCAAATTTTTAAAATCATCATGATCTGATTTAAAACTGTAGCCTCAAGCAGTTTTATATCCTTACCTTAAATGTCATCTGGGCTAGAATAGGACCATCCTAGCAACATCTGTGTTCCAAATGTACAATGTAGTTATTCCAGCTCCCGTTAAATTATTGGGTATGATCAGAATTTTTTCATTAAACTTCATATTCAGAAATGGTTTTAGAGTGGAATTTGTAGAGGAATGGTTATCATAGCAGTTTGAGAGTAGTTTAATAAAAGCAATAAATAGGAAAATTGAACCATTGTGAGATATACTTGCTAGATTGTAAATTGTATTATATGTAAGTATGATACAGAAAAGAATATATGCTAAAGAACAGAAAACAAACTTTTCATAGATGTTTGCTTTTGTGGGCTATATAATATCACATATACTGAACTTTGCCATTGTAGCCCAACAATCGCCAGCAATAAAGTGAGCCTCACTGTTTTCTGACAAGACTTTATTTGTAAAAACATGCAGCAGGCCTTTACTGTTGTTTCCTTACCCTGGTGTTGTGTGTAAGGGTTATGATATATGGTAGAGTTTATGTTGATAATGGAGAGAAGAGAGTATGACATGAAAGAGTGAGGAACTGTATAAAGGTAGTAAGGTCACTGACATGCTGTCTCACTGAACTATTTTCTCTCTTCCTGAAATGTTCTTTTTCATACTCAATTTAGATGTCATCTCTCTTACAATCACACGGTTACTTCCTCTGTAGTAGCTACTGACCTATAGAAAATGCTCAGTAAGTGCTAAAAATTGAAATTTTCTACTTCAGTCTTGTAGGTAAGATGGTTTCAAATTGGGAAGATTGTGAAAGTTTGTTTACATACAGTTTTTCCCACTCAGTAGCTTATTCTAGACTTGCATACAGTGATTCTCAACTTTGTTTTCTGCTTCAGTTTGCCTATCTGATATTGTTCACATGAACAGGGTAAGGATAGTGCTCTTTTCTTCTTTCCTACTTGGTACTTAGTTGGAATTCCCTTCTTTCTTTCCACTGATCTTGGATTGGTGTCTTTGTGCTGCTGAGAATGGATGTTTAAACATATGACCTGCAGTAAACTTGTGAGTATGGTAACTCGCTGCCTTCTAAGTTTTTCATTTTCTTTCAGTTAATTGTAGAAGACAAGTGGTGGTCCTACTTATAGACTGTCAGATACCCATAGAATCTTTTTGTCAAGGTTAGAGAAATTTTGTATAATAGCTAGTCAAACTTTTCTTAATATAGTTAGAAAACTGAAGCCTAGAGAGACTAAAAGATTTGCATACATCAGTTAACTAGCCACAGAGATAGGTCTAGAACTTCACATTATTTGGTCCCCAATTCAGTACTCACTCTATTGTCATAATACTTTTTCTGATAAGACAAGAAAGAATTGATTCTCAAACTTGAAAATGTAAAATTTCTTGACAGGTTACATCCACTGAAATAATTGTAGCCAAAACACTAAATTCAGTACTCACTCTATCATCTATCATAATACTTTTTCTGATAAGACAAGAAAGAATTGATTCTCAAACTAGAAAACTGAAATTTCTTGACAGGTTATATTCAGTGAAATAACCAGCCAAAACACTAATTTCAGTATGTTTGGCACTCCTAATGGTGTTGAAATGGCTATATTTTTCATTAAATTATTAGTAAAAAGATATAGTAGATTGTTTTACTATTACAGTTATATTAAGAAGGAATTTTGTTTAATTAAAATTGAGCACATGAGTATGTAAAATCTGAATAAGTGCATGTGTAGAGAATTTAATTTGTATAAAAACTAGTGCCTAATCTTGTTCTTTTGTTTGTTTTTAATAAACTCTTTCAGAAAGATGAGGTCTATCTTAATCTGGTGCTGGACTATGTTCCGGAAACAGTATACAGAGTTGCCAGACAGTATAGTCGAGCCAAACAGACACTCCCTGTGATCTATGTCAAGGTATGTAAAAATGCAGCAATTTGCCAATTTAGAAAGTACTTATATACCAGGAAGAATGCTTGGTGTGTTTTAATTATTTATTGCTTTTAATATTGAGAGATGAAAAAGGTATAATTAGTGTTTCATTACATTTTTGTAAAATTTTAAGATTACGAAGCTAAAGTTAACTTTCTAAAGTTCTTATCTTTCTCAAATCCAGTTAGGCGTTTAAATTCTTTTAACTTCTGATATCTTCATGGTTCACAGACTGAATAACAGGCATATGTGAAATCATAAAAAGTTTTAAGTATGATCAAATTCTATGTTTTTATTGCTATGTATAGAGCTGTTTATGTAACTGAAGTTTAAAATTCGATAATTTATTTTTTAAAAAATTGATATTTTTTTTTAACAGGCATACCAAGTGTCACTTAATTTTCAGTATAATATATATCAATGTCATCTTGTTTATTTGATGCGTGACTAGGCATTTATATAGCATAATTTTGATTAAAGTTGTTGTAGAGGAATAGAAACAGGTGATTATTTTATTAACTGACATTGTTAGAATTAACTGGAAGTTAAGTTTGAAAGTTCAGATATCTAAATATGGTTTTTGCCTTTTATTTTTTAGTAGAAATGACTGTAGAAAATAAAATGGCTTACTATCAGATTATTTTGGTTTTAACTCATTAATTACAGTTTAACATTTTATAATAATAAATGTGTACCAAAGCACAACTTGGGTAGCTAAATGATTTTTGCAAGGAGCCCTGGATTCCTCTTGTTCAGCACTAGGAACTTAAAATTTTGATTCCAGTTCAGTTTTACTTAGGTGTATAAAAACTTGGTGAGGTTATTGCTTAATTGATGTAATAGGAACAGAAAAACACAGGTTTTTTTTTGTTTTTTTTAACTACAAGTTTGCTTTATTATTTTATTTTGGCTTTAAAATAGCAGTTCCAATTAAAGGTAACCATCACCGTAGTTTAAATTATCTCAATCTACATTAATCTTTGAGCTTTTTAATTTTGGATTGATGATAATTTTCTACCTACCTTGTGACTTAAATGCTGTACAACACTGACATATTGAAGGAGAAAAAACCGTATATTTGATTCCTTTAGACTACTTTTGAGACCCATTATTGTTACTTGGTTGTAAGTGCATTTGTATTATTGGTAAAATTGTACTGAACAGTATAGGTTGTTAGTCTATAAGAAAATCTTGACATATGATAAAACATTTTTGGGACCGTAAAATAAAAGTAATACAAGTTTAATACTGGGTCAAAAAATGACTTGTGGATATGTAAAAAGAGGTACAAATACTAACAGTTTTTATTCAACAAATACTAAACGATTATAGAATAATGTGAGTCTAGTAAAATATTTCATTCTTTAATAATGAAAGAAAAATCTATACAAATTTACTATTAAACAAAACAAAAACATAATGTTATAAAGAAGTGTTTAAAATGTCATGGACTTCTGAATTGGCAAAATTTCTTTGGAAAAGAGAAGGCTATAGTAATGTCCCTATTGATCCTTAGCTGCTCAACATCTGCCACTTCCTAACATATCATGTGCCAAATAATTTTCTCTTCCCTTGTCTGTCTGCAGAAAGTCTTTGCTTATATCAAGATCCCTGTATAGTCACCCTAAACCTTTGATTTACTTTTGAAGACTGCAAATAGAAATACAAATAGAAGTACAGAAAACAGAATAATGAACTCTCTTGTATACATTAAATGGCTATTAATTACAAGAATAATTAATAGTCACTCTTGTTTTATCTTTGCCATGTTACTACCCACTTGATTTATTTTGAAACAAATCACAGATACAGTTTTCATCTATATTTTAGGAGATATATAAAAGATAGGGACTAAAAACATAATTGCACTACCACTGTCTTATCTATACAAAATGAAATTTCATTAGTGAATTGAATATTCAGTTACCATTTATATTCCTGATGTTGTTTAATTAATTAATTTAATGTATTCCTTGATTCAAAGTTCTTTGTTTGAATTGGGATCCAAGTGAGATCCATAGGTTACATTAAAATTGATGTCCTTCCCAAAGATGGGTCAAACACTACACGACATACACTTCAGCAACATCTTTAAAGACAGAGTACCCAACGCCACAATAGTGAAGGCAAAAATAAATAGATGGTACTACATCAAGTTAAAGAGCTTCTGTACAGCAAAAGAGACATTACTAAAAACAAACAGACAGATCACTAATTGGGAAAACATTTTCTCACACAAAAGTAGCGATAAAGGACTGATCACAGAAATATACGGAGAACTGATGAAACTCAACAAAAATAAACAACCCCATCAAAAAATGGGCAGTAGAGCTAAAAAGACACTTCTCCAAAGAGGAAATGCAGATGGCCAACAAGCATATGAAAAAATGTTCAACATCACTCGTAATAAGGGAGATGCAAATTAAAACCACAGTGAGGTACCACCTCACCCCAGTGAGAATGGCACATCTTCAAAAAACTAGCAACAACAAATGTTGGCGAGGATGTGGTAAAAAAGGAACTCTCCTGCACTGCTGGTGGGAATGCAAACTAGTACAACCACTGTGGAAAACTGTTTGGAGGTTCCTCAAACTGCTAAACATGGAGCTTCCCTACGACCCAGCAATCCCACTCCTAGGTATCTACCCAAAAGACACAAAAACACTGATTGAAAAAGATACCCGTACCCCCATGTTTATTGCTGCTTTATTTACAATTGGAAAAACATGGAAGCAGCCCAAATGCCCAAAAGTAGATGACTGGATAAAAAAGAGGTGGTACATATATACAATGGAATATTACTCAGCAACCAAAAAAGAGAAACACATGTCTTTTGCAGCAACTTGGATGGAACTGGAAAAGATCATGCTTAGTGAGATAAGCCAGAAAGAGAAAGAAAAGTACTGGATGGTTTCACTCATAGCAGGAGTATAATGGACCAGGTGGAAAATAATGAACAAAATATGAACAACCATATAGCAGAGACATTTTGTGGGGGTGGAGTGGGGAATGGGATCAAAAACGGGGGCTGGGGGGTGTGTGGAGGGAAGTGGTGATGGCACATGGGTGACTTGGTGATGGGAAACCTGCGGGGATTACAATTGAGATGGAAAAAAAATGTACAAAATGATGTAAAAAAAAAAATGATGTGCTTCCAGAAAAACAAAAAGAAATACCGATGGTTTCATAGCAGGAGCATAAAGGGCCAGGGGAAAAATAAATAATAATGAACACTATATACCAGAGATATTTTACAGGGGTGAAGTGGGAAATGGGATTAAAAATGGGGAGGGGGGCAGGTTAGTGCATGGGACTGTGGTGATGGCACATAGGTGAATAGTCTATGGGGATTACAACTGAGATGGGAAAAGGCACAAAATGATGTGAAAATAAACTACAATAAAATAAAAAAAAATTGACGTGCTTCATATTTTTCTTTTAATCTGTAGGTTCTTTCTCAAACATTTAAAAAAACTGGGTTGTTTGATTGAATAATTTCTGGGTCTGGATTTCACTGTAGTGTTATTAATATATTCCTGAGTATTTTCTCTATAAAATGGTCTTTTAGGTATATATTTATAGAAATCAAAGCTATTCCATATGTAAGAGAATGCCTTTTTTTTTTTTTAAAGATTTTTATTTATGCATACAGAACTGGGGTACAAGCCAGAGTTGCAGGTGTGGTGAGAGGCTTCACCAGAGTCAGAGTGGGGAGCAGAACCTACACTGCTAAGGGAAGCAGCAGGAGGGTCAGGAGAGGTGCCCTGTGGGTCAGCTCTAGATCTCTGTCTAGGGCCAGATGGAACTCAGACTGAAACTGCTGTGGCTAGCTTGCAGTGCTGCATCCTAACCCATTGCACCACCAGGGAGGGCATAGAATGCTTTCTTAAGGAAGAACATAATGTCTTTCTTTTTGTATAGAAAAAAATGGTATAGAAAAAAATGGTATAGAAAAAAATGTATAGAAAATGGTTTGTGAGGATGATCATTGTCAGAATCATTAATTTATCAGGGCTACAAATAGTTGATATTCTAATGTTACTATTCTTTTAAAATTTATAGTTCATAAAGAGAAAATTTCCTGTGTTGCCTGTGTTTTTCCTAAAGCACAGTTATATAAGATAGGCAGTGTATATATTTGATTAATTCCCTTTATTCATGAAAATTTATCATAGTTTTTTCCATAGCATCTTCTAAAGGCTAGCAGTGTAATATTTTGTTATATGTTTTTGTTTTAATGTTTTGTTGTTGGTTAATAATTTTTTATAACTTCCTGGCTTTCTAGCATCTAGAGATCTAGATTCATCTTGTATATTTCTTACTTAGGTTTGGAATCAGCCTTTTCTTTAAGGAAACCTTATCCTTTTACTGGAAAATAGCACTTCGAAACCTCAGGCTGAATGTTAGTGGTACAAATTGCCACAGGATTGGTTATTATTTCTGGGTAGTGTTTTTGTTTGTTTGCTTGCTTTAAGGAAAAAACTATGAAAAGCTAGAAAATATGTCTTTTTTTTTTCAACGATAAAATGTGTCATTTTATAATCCCAGAGAGAAATACATGATGAGTTCACATTGATAATTTCTAATTAACATTTGATGGAAGGTGGTTTAACTGTCACATTTGTATTTCTCTTACCATACACTCAAAATTCCATTTTTTAGTGATAATTGTTTTATCCCACACTTTATATACAGTGAGTCTAAGATGACAATCCCAACACTTGCCATCAATTGGAGATAATTAAAGATCTTTTTTGAATAATTTTTTTTCAGTTTTCAAAAAACATTGAATAATTTCCTGTGTAATCATGCTTCATTAAACAGTTTCATTTGACTTTTTTAGTTCACTTTTTAAAAGTAGATTTTGTTTGAAGTTTTCCAAGTTAATTTTACTTTAACTTACTTCAAAATTAATATATTTACATGTTTCAAAGTAAAAACTACAGGACAGTCTATATGCAGTCAAATAAATTTAAATTTTATCCCTCTTCCCTCTGCCTTGTCCCTTCTCTTTCCCATAGTTTAATACTAAAAATACTTGTATCATCAAGCCTGTAATCTATCATTTTTTAAATAAACAAATATGTGTAATTATCTCCCCTTTTTATTTTTTATGTAAATGGTTACATAATATATATATTTTCCTCTATCTTTTTTAATTAAAAATACATTCTGCAAATCATTATATTATTATGGATAAAGATATTTCAACTTCCTCTTTATAGCTGTGCATTTATCTGTGACTGTCTTATAATTTAGTCAGCCAAATATTTAAATGATCATGGATTGTTTTTCCTTCAGTTTTTTAAAATCATTATTACAAATAAAGTTGTGGTAAAGAGCCAAGTGCACTTTTCTATATTTTTGATAGCATTTATTTGGACCCCGTTATCTGGCATCCTGTTTATTAAAAGAGAAAATAAGATTGTCATGCATATTGAAGTTGGCATACAAAGCAAGACTTAACATCCTATTGTCACTGAAAATTATTCTTTTGAGGACACAAATCTTAAGTTTAAGATCCTGAAAACAAAACATTGTCTGGAATTGATATTTACTTATTTGCTTATTTATTCTACATAGTTTTTATGAAGTATTTTTTGGTGAAAAATCTTGAGATACAAGGAACTCTTGCCCCATAGATCTTACCATTTTACAACAATTTGTCATAAATATTGTCAAAATGACAACTGCAGTTCTTTATAATTGCTTACTTTTTGTGGGGGTAGTTGTGTATTGTGACCTTGGTTCAAACCTCTGCCTTCATCAATTCTAAAACAGATGTGTGGCAAATCATTGTTATGAACTTAAATCTTTTTAATTGAAAAGACCTGTTTAAGAACAGAGTGTATTCAAAACACTAGAGAATTGGATACATTTTTGTGAATCACATGCAAAATTGTTACTTGTCTAAAACAGACATACTAGCCCAGAGGAATGAACATTGAACTTGAGTTAGATTTGATAAATTTGTTTTGTGTTCAGATTGCTTTCAATTCATTGATTACCTCACTTTTAAAATGAGGGTAAATTTATATCTCACAGAATGATTGTGGGAATAGATCAAAATGAGTGAAAGTAAAAGTCAAACAAATCTTGAATTATAAATTATGTATACCTCTGAGTGTCTAAAACTTTATAGTCTTCAAGTCTTTTATTTAGTGATCACATTTTTTTTTTTTAGATTTTTATTTATTTATTCATACAGAACTGGGGTACAGGCCAGAGATGCGGAGGGTGAGAGGATTCACCAGAGACAGAGTGGGGAGTAGAACAGGCAGATCGACAAAGTACACTGCTGAGGGGAGCAGCGGGCAGGTCAGGAGAGGTCTGCCATGCCATGTAACCACCTCCCGGGCAGGCAGGGATCGAACTCATGCAGAAGTGGCTTTAGCTTCTTAGTGCTGTGCTGTAACCCACTGCGCCACCAGGGAGGGCCAGTGATCACATTTTTTAATGTCATATTGTACTTTAATAAAAAAAATAATGGCAAAAAAAAGGAATCATAATTGAAGAGGCATCTTGCCATGGCTACTACAAAATATTAAGTATTAGACAAATTGCCTAACCTCTTCATGCCTCGTTTTTTTTATAAGTAAATAGAAAAACTAGGACTAACTATTACATAAGGGTTAAATGAAATAATACATACAGAGCACTTACAAAAGTGCCTAACTAAAACCTGAGAAGTTATTTTTCTTATTGATGGTATCCTTCTAGATAGTATTAACATAGTTTCTTTTCCTTGTATAGAAAGTCTTTCATTTTCCTATAATATGCTTTAACAGAGTCAAGAACCATAAAAAGATATAGTATCTTTCATTTTTTACTTCAAAAGATAAAGTGTAATGAATGGAGATAGATCTTTCAGATGAACAAATAACAGAGTAAAGATACCTTAACTTTGTTTAATCTGAAGTTTTTTGACAAAGGAAACATTTATCCCATTGATTATTGGTAACTGGTTCTTAAGACCCTGATACAGTTAGTAGAATCTTTCCTATAGTTTTAAATTAATGTCTGTGATTTCAGTTTCCTATGGGAGCTCATTTTCATAGAAGTAGTAATTTAAACTCATAAAACTCAGAGTTAGCATAAGAACTTGAGCAATGATTCTTTGAATAATAACAATAGAATTATAAAGCTTTTAAAGTTAGAATGAAACCTAAATTCTTAAATTCCTTAACAATTTTGCTGATCTTTCTGTATATCTTATCTATACAGTTTACCTTCTGCTCACTTTAAAAATGTCTTACCCTTCCACTTCAGTATACCCTTAATGATGTCCTAAAATTCAGCTATCTACAGTTTTCATCTTGTCTACCTAAGGGAAGGTTTACAGTGGTGCCCTGTGTCAACACTTTTCTGATCTTTAACTGTCTTTGTTGTTAATAATGTTATTTTACCAAGACACTGGTATTTTTTATTTCTTATGAAAAATTTTTTCCCCATGGTTATAATTTTTAAAAAGATTTATTTATATATACAAGAACTGGACATAGGCCAGAGTTATGGAGGTGAGAGGATTCACTAGAGATAGAGTGGGGCAGCAGAACAGCTGGATCTACTGAGATGCACTGCTGAGGGGAATGGTGGACAAAACAGGAGAGGTCTGCCACACCGTGTAGATCTGCTTCCTGGTCAGGGATCGAACTCAGTCTCGAACTCAGTGACTGGCGGTAGCTTGATAGCACAGAAACTTTACTCTCTGTACCACTAGGGAGGCCCCATGGTTTATAAATTTACTCTCTGTACCACTAGGGAGGCCCCATGGTTTATAATAAGGTGAGCAGTTAAAAAAAAAAAAAATACTGACCTTGGGAGAATTAGAAGTTAAGGTAGACTTTCTCCATAAATTTTCTCTGTTCCCTAGTCAACAGTTTGTTTCCTCCATGTAGATGTAGTTTTTCAGTGTATTTTTTAATAATAATTTTTAAATAATAAAATCTTTTAATAATAATAAAATGGAAACACATTTAAAAAATTGCTGTCAATAGTCCAACTAGGATCTCTTCTTAAGTATTTTAAAATCTTTTATTTCTGAAGGATATGAACAGAATGGTGATGGCTATCAACAGGGCTATTAATGTCTTGATACATCACTGATTATTGATTTTCTTTTTAGTCCATGTTTTCCTAAGTCTTTGTATGAGTAATCCCCTGGACTGTCATCTCAGAAAAATATTGTTTTAAAGGTGAAATTGCAAATATTTTCAAGGAATGGTGAAATTAAGAAACAGAGGACTGGACTTCTGGTCCTCACATGCTGCTTATTAGTCACATTATTTACACTACCTTTCTGAGTTGTGTGTTTGTGTTTAAACAAACAAACAAAAAACCTTAACTGACTTGTGGTGAAATAGATTTGGCTTATGGTGAGATAGATGCTAGTAAAATAAAGATTTATAGAATACTTTTTCTAAGTTGTTAGTGCAAATATAATGTGGTCAGTGAAAGTGTGGCTAATAATAAACTATGAAATTTGTTAACAGATAGGTTGAAAACTAGTAATTCCTAGTTTTTTATCTGCTCTGTTTTGCAAATCTGTTACTTAAGATTCTGAATCATTTGGGATTAAAAGTATTAAATTTATTTTTACTATTTATTCCAGTTATATATGTATCAGCTATTTCGAAGTTTAGCCTATATCCACTCCTTTGGAATCTGCCATCGGGATATTAAACCACAGAACCTCTTGTTGGATCCTGATACAGCTGTCTTAAAACTCTGTGACTTTGGAAGGTAAGCTAACTCTCTTTTTCTTCCTTCCCTTCCCTTCATCTTTCCCTATAGTCTTTTAACATCTTTCCCTATAGTCTTTTAAAATTATTCTTTTTATGATGTCAGTCTTAAAATATGGTAGATTTTCTTCAGGGAGTATATATTAGTACAATTTCTACTGGTAATTTCTGTCAGAATTATAAATCTATGTAGTCTTTTCATTGAGCAGTTTAAACCCTAGCCATTACTTTCTTAGGAAAAGTAAGGCCAAAACTATATATAGTATGTTTCCTTTCATGTTTTAAAAACAAAGTGTAATCTGTGTATACAGATACATGTTTAATTTATTTCTGGAATGGTACATTGATTGCCCCTAGGAAGGAAAATTGGAAAGATCGTAAAAGTAGGTTGGGAAACTTTATTTTTTATTTCTTATACTTTCACATTGTTTAAAAGTTAGTTGTATAGAAGGTCCAGCAGCAGTGTTTTCTTCCTTTCCTCTATAATGTAGTCTCTTATTCTTTGTTTTCTGAAAATTCCAGCATCCTTTGTTTTCTTAAACTGATTCCTTGGTAATATACTGTGTAATAAGACTTCATTCTTTTCATTTCCATAGTATTAAATATCTTGTATTTCTCTGATCCAATCTGTCAACATGAACTCAAGTCTAGATCCCTGTTAACTAGAGCAAATGATATACTTCCTCTCTGGTACAATCCATTATAGAAACGTGTCTCCTTTCCTAGAATACCTCCATATAACTTGCATTCACTTCAGTTTTGTGGTTTTTTGTTTTGTTTTTTAATTAAACAGGCACTTCTGTTTCATCATGAGTTATTCTTATTTAGACTATCCCCTTTGTACAAATTTCCTCACACTTATCACAGGACCCAGCTCATTTTGCAGATATAAATGTCCCTTCAACCTTAAAGAAGGGTGAAGGATATTAGATCAAAACTCTTTGCAGTTGATGTTTGTAAGAAAGTACTACTACTTAACTATCTCTGAGAAACTTTCCAAGTCAGATGAGTTTTATTGTTATAGGGTGTCTTAGCCACTGAGTGTCTGACTATCAGTAAGTAACATAAAAAAGACTATGAGAAATCATGTTTAGTAGAGTTTCTGTTCTCACCATAATAAAAGAAGCTGTTGCTGTGTGCCATTCTATTGAGCCATAGAGATTGTTTTGTTCTAATAAGTTTGGAATTGACTATTTTTTTTTATCATAGTTACTTTTATAAACCTTCTGATAACAAAGCTGCTATTTTTGTTTTTAACTGTTATTTTGTGCAAATAGAGTTTGAGAGATAGATTAGTGATGATTTTAGTAAAACAGTATCACTTTTTGTTAGTAATTGTTCAGTGGATGAAACATGGGTCTGGAATCCCATGTTAATTAAAAAAAAATCCTGTTAATTAAAAAAAAAATTTAATTTTAAATATCTTGTTAATTTAAAAAAATCTTTTAAAAGATAGAAAGATTTCATCATTTAGGCTGAAAGGTGCCTTAATTTTCATGCAGCCTAAAAATGAATTAATATTCATTTAAGATAGTTGATGTGTCTCAGTACATTGGGAGACTCTTAAAAAAATAAGTTAGTCTTCCACCTTCAAAACTTGTGATGAGGGAAGGAAATGTTAGGATAAGAATTATCATGGACCAGACATTAATGGAAGAAAGTCCAATCTTTGAAATTCTTGAGAATACTTTTTAATCTTTCTGTGATTTTCTTGTTGCTTACTTAGTTTTGAGTTTGTTTTTATTTATTACCTGAATTTTTCTTTTCTGTTATTGTCAAAATGGTGAGCAGCTTCATCAGTTTATTTCAGTTTGTGTTCCAAGTTTATTGAAATACACCTCAAAACAAACTTAAGTTTGATTTTCAAAATACATACCATAGAGTATTTTGGAAGGAATATTGGAAGGATTAAGAGAACACTTACTTATTAGTTGGCCCTCCCCTGTGGCACAGCCGGTTAAAGCACTGCACTGAGAAGCTAAAGCCACTTCGACTCCTGCCTGCCCCGGAGGTGACCACGTGGTGTGGCAGACCTCTCCTGACCCACCCGCTGCTCCCCTCAGCAGTGTACTTCGTCGATCTAACTGTTCTGTTCCCCACTCTGTCTCTGGTGAAGCCTCTAACCGCCCCTGAGCCTCTGGTCTGTACCCCAGTTCTGTATGAATAAATAAATAAATCTTAAAAAAAAAAAAGAACAATTAGTTAAACAAAGTTAGCATTCATAGGGTGTGAGCCATTGTCTACCCTTTTTTACTGGTAATGAGTTTTTAGACGGTCAATAAATTTAACTAAGATGGTTAAAAAATGTACATTGCACCTGTAAATCTTGGAATATTCACTCTGAGTCAAAAACAGGCAATTTCTTACCCTTAAAACTTTAAAAATAGGCAATTTCTCACTCCAAAAAGATGATGTATATATTTTCAAGTATTTATTCTTATAATCAGTTATTATGATGGGGGAGGTCCTGCTTTTTTGCCTTTCTTGATATTTAGAGAAAGAATTTAGGGGATAGAAAAACAGATGAAATGAAGCATTTATCCGTATGATTTTTTATCTCTTTCTCCTTAGCTAACAGTTAGGAATGCATTCTTTAAAATTTGCTGTTCTTTTTCAGATGTGCTAACTTACTTTTCAGAATGTGCTGTAGTTGTAACTTTATTTTGTTAAAGAGAGTTATGGTTCACATATTCTTTGTGTATCATTGGAGTTTTTTGAACCTTAGATAAGCATATTTAGTGTTACAAATAACAATAGTTCATATTCTTTCAAGATTTAGATTTAAAGAATTTCTACTTTTTATCTTTTTTTACTAGTGCAAAGCAGCTGGTCCGAGGAGAACCCAATGTTTCGTATATCTGTTCTCGGTACTATAGGGCACCAGAGTTGATCTTTGGAGCCACTGATTATACCTCTAGTATAGGTAAGTATTGTGTCTGATACATAGCTTATAATTATCACTTGCATCTTGTATTTAGTAATTAGTTATTGCTCATTTGTATCTTCATTTAAACATGAATGTCTTAAAATATATTCCTTCTTAAAGATAAGCCAAAAAAAGTGTAGAATTTCTAAAATTTGAACTGCATAATACATTTGTTTTTAGCTTTAAAATTATACATTCTTCAGTTATATTTACTTTTTTTTTTAATTCCACTGATACTCATTTCTAAGCTTGATCAACAATTAGAGAATGTGCAGCATTCCCTAAGCTTATGATGAAATTTAGGATGATCATATTTTGGTATTTCTATTGTGCTATCATTTGCTTACTTAATTTTAGTTAATAACTATTTTTTGAATTTTTCCCCATTATTTTGGTTCAATATACATGAAAGATTTTTAGTGATAGAAAAAAAATAGAATCTGTTTCAGTCTCCATTGACCCCTTTTTCTACTCCATTTATCCCGTTAGTGGGAGAACAAAGCGTAATCAGCAGAAATTAAGTATGAAGCTAAGAAAGGAGGATCAGCCTTAGGTTCAATGTGCAGGTGGAAGTCAAAATTATTTTAATGTCATAAATTGTTTCTGAGGAGAATGCTTTAGTCTAAAAGTAGAAACAAAAGCATGTGAAAATCAAAGGAATAACAGCCCCCAGTCCCCACCCCACCCCACTGTAATAGAAAAGTAAGAAAAGCTAGACTGCAAATAAGGATAATTTTTGTCTTGATACAAGTAGAAATTCTTTGATTTGAACAAAAACATCTCAAAAGAAACATGTTGCCAGAGTCATAGGGTATTTTTGATTGTGCCAAGGGGCTAGCAATTTAGCTACCATATCTTATACATGCTCAGTAATAAATGTCAATACATTGAAAAAGACAGATAACATCTTACTGTTCTTATGAAAATGGCTTTGCCCTTCAGGAGCTCTGAAAAGTTTTGGGGCCTGTAACTCTGCAAAGCATACTCTGTGAAACCTGTTTCCCTGGAGAATATAGAGAGCATAATATTGGGAGGGCAAGAAGTGGAGTAAGAAGTGGTATGTGTGTGCGTGCTAGAGCAAAACAATTGTATGCATATGTTAAAAGGCAAATGCAAAGTAATGAAAAGGACATTTTCCTTGGAATAGAACTGGAAATGAATTCTAGACTTCTTATAATTTAGCGAAGTTGTAACTTGGATATTACTAACAATTTTGCCTGCCTTTATGAATGATAAGAATTGTCAGTGAAGGTATCGTGAAAATATGATTATATTATTTTGTGGTATTTGCGACCAGATCATCTGATTATAATCTGACAAATGAAAATATGTTGACCTTTGACCTTGTTGAGAGAATATTCCATAAAATGCATGTGACTATCAGTTCTTTGGAATCTTCTCTCAAAAGGATAGTGTAGGCCCTCTCTGGTGGCACAGCAGGTTAAAAGCACAGCACTAAGAAGCTAAAGCCACTTCAGCATGAGTTTGATCCCCCACCCTGGAGGTGATCCACATGGCATAGCAGACCTCTCCTGACCCGCCCACTGTTCCCCTTCGCAGTGTGCTACTTCAATTCGCCTGTTCTGCTCCCCGCTCTGTTTCTAGTGAATCCTCTCACTTCCCCTGCACCTCTGGCCTGTACCCCAGCTCTGTATGCATAAATAAGTCTTTAAAAAAAAAAAGTGTAGTTTGTTTTCTCTTATTAGGAACCAGTTCACAGTGTTTTATGAGTATCTGCTTTCAAGTAACCTTTCTCTGCATGGCTAAAGCCAGATTATGATTTTACAGATTTAGGGCTTTTTATATAGCACTGATTCAGTTTGTGTATTTTGAACCCTAAAGGGCCTGTCATTGGTTTCCCTTTTGTTTAGACTTAATGATACTTAACCTTTCAAGACTATGGAAGATTTGTAAACGAACAACAAAGGTCTTAGAAATATGCTAATACTGGGTACATTTTAAAAATATTAATAATGTGTTTTGACGTGATGGCATGGCTAGTTCTGGCTAGATTATTGTCATATTCAATGTAGCCAGTGCAGAGGCCAGTGACTACGTTGTTTTGTTGAGAAAAGGCAGATTGAGAAAAAAAGTCTTCTTCAAAATAAGAAATTGATTTGACAGACCCTTGAGGAACTCTGGTAGTGAGACATTTATTTAAGACAATGGTTTCTTGATTGGGAATGAAACTTAGGTTCTCAGTCTAACACTGATGTTCAGTAACTTTATCTTAAACAAACCACTGAGCTTGATTGTGTCTTAATGTCCTTACCTGTGAAGTAAGTGTCTTAAATGACATGGTTTTGAAAGATCACTTTTTTTTGCCACAAGTTAGCATTAAGTGTAAAACAGAATGCTGTTTTGGCTTAAACCCCAAATAACCAGAAAATTCAGGCAGTCAACACATGTTTTCTTTATGTGTGTGTGCATATATGTGTCTCCTGTTTACTTGTTTTTATCCCTATTTGGAGAATTTCATTCGTTTGTCTTGTGAACTAAGAACAGAAGAGATTTGGTACCACCCAGAAAGATAAATACCTAGGTTTTAGTAATAATTTACCTGAATTATTGTGAATTGAAGATCACTCTTGTGGATGCTACCAGAATCTTTTTATTAATCCACTGTGGCAACTACTAGCAGTAGTATTCCTTAGTATTTTATGCCTTGTCTCCCAAATTAGCAACAAGTCTTGCCTGAGAAAGATTAGGCAACCTTGTGGGTTCCTTTGTTTTATAGAAGCATTAACATTCTCCTGCCATTTTTCTAGCCTAGTCTCCTGAGGTGAATTATTCTTTGTTATAAGGGAAAGAAGTAAGTGCACATTAAGTTCCATCTTATTACTAGGTTTAGGGATATTTTTAAACCTAGATCAAAATGAAGCATTTACATTAATGAGATATATTGTTTACATTTGATTTTAAGAGTATGACTCTTGACTTTGATGTGAAGTAAAGATTCCTTAGCAGGTTTTCACATCTGCCTTTTTTAAGCAATTTCCTAATATATCAAGAAAGATTTTCTTATTCTCTGTTTACAAAATCAGTGTGTTGGCTATCATTGCTTGGGACTAGACAATATTAACTTGAATTTACTAAATGTTTTATCATTTTTTTAGGTCAGTAAAATACATACACCGTTGCAGGGATTTCCAGTTCCTCTTGACTTAGGTTCATTTCCCTAAAACCCTTGATTGTTGTATCATACACAACGCAATAATCTCAAGCAACTAAAAAATGAAAATTAGCTTCTCTTTGCAAGAAATTTTAATGATGGGCTGTAAGTAGAGTGACCATATACTTTATCCTCCCATTTAGTAATAATTTTAAAAGAGAAAGGGCATACTACTAGTAATCATGCCAGTAAATATCCAGTTCTTATATATGTAAATAAATATTTAAAAAACATAAAATGAATAAAAGATCTAAACTAGGACTATCTTGGCTAAACTAAAATATATTTCATTCATTCATTCATTTATTACATTTACAAATTACTAAAATTTATTAAATTGTTTTTAGAAGTTTTAGTGCTGAGATTCCCACTTTGAATTAAAAGTGAATTGCTTTCTAATTTGTGAAATAAAATACATATCTCTTTGCATTTAAAGATGATAATATATTTAAATGCATTTTTTTGTCAGCCATTTAAAAACCTTAAAATAGGCCCTCCCTGGTGGCGCAGTGGGTTAAAACACAGCACTGAGAAACTAAAGCCACTTCCGCATGAGTTTGATGCCCGCCTGCCCCGGAGGTGACCGCATGGCGTGGCAGACCTCTCCTGACCTGCCCGCTGCTCCCCTCAGCAGTGTATTTTGTCGATCTGCCTGTTCTGCTCCCCACTCTGTCTCTGGTGAAGCCTCTCGCCGCCCCTGAGCCTCTAGCCTGTACCCCAGTTCTGTATGCACAAATAAATCTTTAAAAAAATAAAAAATAAAAACCTTAAAATATTTTCCTCAAAATTTACATTGACTTAAAACTCCGTATCTAGCAGATTGAAGCCTTGCTTGCTGTTCCTCTGTAAGCACTTACTAATGCACAGATGTGGTGTCACTTTGACTTATTTTTAAGTAGAATAAATAGATAATAATGCCGTGTGGTTTTGTACTATAGCCTTGTGTTGATTGTTAAAGATTTGAACACCTGATATTTGATATTAAATAGATTTTGCCTTTTATTGAAATAATCTTATTGACCTTGTTTTACATTTTAGCAACACACTAATAGGTCTTCTTCTGTTATGGAGTATGTAATCTTTAGCTTGTAATAATTTCTGCCCGATCAAAGTAAGATTAGAAATTATAAACATTTTTCCATATGACTTATCTACAGGTATTAATAGGTCTTCATTTTACTTTATCTTTAGATGTATGGTCTGCAGGCTGTGTGTTGGCTGAGCTGTTGCTAGGACAGCCAATATTTCCAGGGGACAGTGGTGTGGATCAATTGGTGGAAATTATCAAGGTAAGAAGGTTATATTTTTGAACTAGGAGGAATTTTGTTGCTCTTTTAAGACTCCATATCACACACATGCCCATCAACAACTTAAAAAATGAAGGAAATGATCCATGATAATATAGCAAGCTGAAGAACAGACAGAGCATAAGGATATAAACCTTTGGTTTCTGCTGAGTTATTTTTCTGTCATATAATCCAAGAAAAGCTGTTTTGGATATCTGAGTCAGGAAAAGTACATTTGTGTTGTTTAAAAAGTTTAAGATCAAAAAAAAAAAAAAGTTTAAGATCACTAAAACATAAAATGAGGGTCCTTCCTGGTAGCGCAGGGGCTAAAAACACGACACAGCCTTATCAAACTATTACCAGCCACGGCAGCATGAGTTCAATCCCCAGCCAGCCAGGGAGCTAACCTACATGGTGAAGCAGACCTATCCTTTCTTGCCCACTGCTCCCTTTAGCAGTGTATTTCTGTGGATCTGCCTGGTTTGCTCCCCTCTCTGGTGAAACTCTCACTTCATTCCTCTCATACCCTTCCCCCCATTAACCCTGGCTTACACCCCAGTTCCTGTGTGTATAGATAAATAAATCTTTAAAACAAATAAAATATATAAAATGAATGTAAGCAGAGGCTATGCTTATTTTTGCTTACCATTCTGTTTCTGATACTCTGCTTCTGATACTCTGCTGAATACATAGATGATGCTTATAATTCATTCACTATATAAATATTTACAAAATGAAAAAAAATGTGTATGAATAGACAATGATAGACTCCTATTTCAATTTATTAGTACAGTCAACACCTTTATTAGCAATACCAGGTTCAAGATATTGTTATCTTGGAATATTGTTTCTTAAGAGCATGTAGGATAGGGCTTTTAAGTTTTTATCCTTTGAGATCTTAAAGAAGTTTTCTTCTCACCTCTTTTTAAAATTTCTGTGGGTGTATTATTTTGACCACAAGGTTTTTCATTCTAAGGTTAACAGAGCAGAGCAACAAGCCCTACTATCTTTTGGACTTTATTCCTGATTTTTCAAATATTACATGGATAAATTTGAAATTCTCCTTAGAGATCATATAATTAATTTCACTACCCTGTGAAGGAATCTTCGTTTCCTGACAGATAAGTTTTCCAGAATACTTACAAGCATCAGATCACTAATCTGTTTCTGTACCATGGCAACTTAGTTTTTATTGTGCTGAGCTATACATAAAACCTCTTTGGTGGTTTTTAATCATTTGTACACATGATTATGAAAAAATTACTATTTTATTTTATAACAGTTTATTTTTACATCATTTTGTACATTTTTTTTTCCCATCTCAATTGTAATCCCCTCGGGTTTCCCATCATGAAGTCACCCGTGTGCCATCACCATAATCCCATGCACTTCCCTCTCCACCCCACCCCCCCTTTTTGATCCCATTCCCCATTCCACCCCCGCAAAATGTCTCTGATATAT